AACCGTCATACTGCCGATCGCTTTGCTAGATAAATATCGCGACAAATTAGTCGCCCCGAGTCCTGATTGGTCGGGACGATAGCTGCGCCAGCCGACACGAGTCCTGATTGGTGGAGACGACGTCTCGTGGTCGTGGCACCCCCAGTATTGGCTTTTTGATTGATGTGTCAGTGCTGCGGTACTGTGTGTGCCCGACACATATCATATGAAGGAACTCTGCTCCTGACATTACGAATTAAGATCTTTAATGTTTCCTTATCATCAGACGATTCCATTTGCTGTTCGACAAGATAATTGAAATTATTTCAAGGTATACCTACAGTAATACAAAAGAAAATTCGTATCATATATGGATAGCTGGTCATAAAATGTGCCTATGTAAAAGGAAGGTAACTAGATAAAAGTATAGATGTGATAAAGTTTGATGCCAACTGTTATGTAAAGTGGAGGCTTACAGTAACATTCGCACCGTAACGACAGTTTAGAAGCACTTAGGATACTTGGACAGAGCGCATTGTCAACAATGGCGCCTGGAGACGTGAGCGTTGCCTCCTTCCATGAAATCTCCATACATATGCAATAAGTGTATATGCTCCTACTGAATTCTGAAATCCTGGTACCTGGTATTATTTTGAAATTGGAATAACATGCCTGATGGCCTCGTAAGATCCAAGAAAAATAACTCTCGGCTGGAAATTATGAAGTTAGTTAGTATTTAGACAAACATCTCAGCCTGTTTTTCCAGTTTTTAGATAATGATGCTTGGTGAATCTTATTAGGTCTGAAAAAAATATACTTTAATTTTACTTTTGCTTAACAAACACGAAATGTGCAATATCATAAAACAATGTAGTCAGTACCGCGTTCCACAAGACTTCTTCATTAAGATAATTAAAACAAGGGAAGACAAACAAAGCATTCGCGGTATACTGCATCGCACAATCTACAATATTGCTTCTTTGTACTATCAGCGAACTATTTGCTTATTTACTCTCTTTATGTTGAAATAATATACTTATAAAACATTCATTTGTTTTACTATTTTTTTCTACGAATCTTATTTATTAATAAACTTGTCTATGGTACTTACTGTCGATTGTCTATTTGATTTAACTCGAGATCCTTATTTATACAGTAGTAAAGTAACACTTTGTCTATAAATGTATGCGTGTATGTGCGATTGACTTGATTAATTTGTTGCAGGTAGCGGTCAGTCAGTTAGTCACGTAAAAAGTATACAATTGAAAATACATATATCTATACTAATATTATAAAGAGGTAAAATGTGTATGTTTGTAAGTTTGTATGTAGGGGTTAATCTTTGGAACCGCTGGTCGGATTGCCAACATTCTTTCACTGATAGATAGCTACAATGTTCCTGAGTGCTACGAGGTATAAAACCTCACGCTACGATCAAATGGAGTTGAGTAGCGAGTGAACCCGCGCGAGAGCTAGTACATAATAAAATTTTAATCTAGCAAAGAAATTTTGTGGCCTTAAACAACGCTTGTTTTTTGTTCCACCTTGTGAGTGAGTTTACCGATCCTGAAATCCCTAACAACTCACAAAAGCCCTTCAACTCACTTGTAATTCCTTTTATGTTGCCATGGGTGGGGTCCATTGCTTTCTATCAGGCGTTGAATAAGCACGTTTGACGACCTATACCTTAGAAAAAAAATAAAAAGCAATGCATCGTTGTGAATTTTATATTTGTTTGTACAAAGAAATACTTTGTTTGCTAGTTAGTTGTTATGTGAGCCTTGTTTGGAAACGAATGGATCGGCTCCACCGGAGTGATATCACGGTCTCATGAAAACCAGCATGAAATAACTACAGAATAGTGTATCGCCGTGTGAGTGAGGTTACCGGAGGCCCCTTCCTGCTCCCCATCCCTCCCAATCCCTAATCCCTGGAAGGTCGGCAACGCACTCGTAACTCCTCCGTTGCGGGTGACCATGGGCGGCGCTGATTACTTACCATCAGGTAATCCGTCTGCTCGTTTGCCAACCTATTCCATAAAAAGAAAGTTAGTTGTTCGGGTGAGCCATGTTTGGAATTGAATCAGTCGATATCTCGGCCTCATAGAAAACCAGCATGAAATAACCACAGAGTAGTGTATCGCCGTGTTAGTGAGGTGATCAGATGGCTAATCCATCTTCCCCTATCCCAATCCCTTAATCTCCAAAACCCTAATCCCATAAAAGGCTAACAGTGCACTCGTAACTCCTCTAGTATCACGGGTGTTTATGGGTGAGGCCGATTGCCTACTACATAGGGATTTCATCTGCTCGTTTGCCCACCTACCTACCACATAAAAAAGTAAAGGAAGGCGAGTGTTTGAAGTAGTGCATGCTCGGTTGGTGCCTAGTTCCTAGGTAAATGCAATAGTGTTCGACGAGTCCTAGTATCGGATGCAAATAGCTCGGTCGCACAGAACAATGCATTTTTCATGCAACACGTCGAAACATGCAAAAGAGATCCGCGCTCTCTGCACTCCACTACATTGTAGCTTTGAATTATTTAATCAAAATGTTGAGAGAAAGATCTTTGTGTCTTGCTTTCCTTCATTGTTTCAAAAAGGTTTTATATACATAGGTCTGACCTGGCTTCGACTAGACGTCAACACTTTGACTAAAGCAATAGCTTCCAATCAGAAACTCCCTTTTACGGAGGTAAAAACTCGAGAGCAACAACGGAAGAGTTGATTTAGAGATTTTGGTATTGTATTATATTTTTTATTGTATTCGGTCAACCCATATTTATTGCAATTTTTGCGTGCGTTTTGTGTCAAATAAAAACTTTTTTCTTACCTTTTGTATTTTTTTTTTCACATACGTACATTGTGCTCAAATAGTACCAGCCCCAACAGTATCTCCTATAACATTACCTCATTACAAACACAAAACGCTATCGGAAATTACCACCAAAGATAAAACGTATTAACCACCCCGCCACCACAAGCAACATCCACCTTTATCCCGTCACGTCACCATCTGTAATCCTGTGCATGTTGGCAGGGACTTGCGTGGAGTTTTAATTAAGTTAGTGAGCCATGTGATATATTGTGACGGTGCTTAGTTATACATAAGCTGTGTATTGTATATTATGTGAGCACGATGTCTTTATGTACATAATATTATGTACTTAGTGTCGCTTGTTATAGTAAATAAGCTTTGTTAACGTTCAGTAAATTATAATGACGCGACGTAGGACTAGCTACAATATTATTTTACCTTCAGTAATCCATAGCTACGATCGGAATTTTCCATCACAGACACGAAGAATTTAATTCAACAAGCAAACTATAGAACAAAACCAAAAAAGAGCATTTTAATCTGAATGGCGGCGCATTCCACGAGCTAGGCTCGAGGCAAACTATGCAGACAGAATGCATATCGGAAGCAGTGCAATTATCCGAGCGAAATAAAGGATCGGTACCAAGCACCGGCGCTGGAGTAATTCAAAACATATTTTACGGATCGCTGAGATTGTTGCCAGTGTGCACTGCTGTAATTGGGAAATGCCGGGGCGGCGCCACTGTGCACTGACCACCATTGCGTGCTGTATGCTTGTCAGCGCAGACCTTTACTCCATCAGAATTTTAATATTTCTTTTTCCAAGCCTCGAGCACCTACCATTAGTTTGTCTCTTAATCACATGGAAATTTAAAAGGTAGAAAGAAGATGGTGTTAAGACCACCTTTATAATATGGGAGTTTTTGATCATGAAGCGCCAATATGCATATATATGTATTAAATATATATGTATTGACACCTAAGCAACAATTTACCATGTGTTTTGTATAACTCACAGTGACTCATATCGTATTTTCCTGGCTAACGAAATCACACACATTTTAGGGTTAATATCTTCACGTGTAAATAACCGACTATCATGAATCAGTGCCTGGGGTAGGAAAAAGAGAGAAAAGTGAAAGGGAATGAAATTTATTCTACACAGATACACAAATGCATTTTCTTTCGAAATCTTTTCCCTGCTATGGTAAACAGTCTCCGTGAAGTTTCTGATCCCTATCTGGTAATTGAAACAAATCGTTATAATCGTTTGAAATCCGTTCGAAATGGAATCCTTTCTCAATCTGTCTGTCTGTCACGCTCTAATAGGATATTAACTTGTTAACCAAACGAATTGAAAAAGAAAGTTCAATTGTTCGACGTTTTGACAGTTTTCTTATTCTATTAAAAAAAGAATAAAAATGATTTGGATGAATCAAATTTAATATTATACTCGCGTTCTTACTTCAGTAGTTCGAGTATTAATGTGGTGAATCTATCAAATAGGTTTGTAGTAGAATTTTATTGTCAAGTAAAAGCTTGGCTGCTAAAGCTGAAGTTCCCCCATGAAACATGGCGCGGTAAAATGTTTATTTTGTGCGAAACAGGTGTTTATGTAATTAGTGGGAAACGTTTGTGTCGCTGCCGCGGGACCACGGCTGGCTAGTTTTTTATTCCCACGTTGGCAGCCTCTCAGTAAATGTGAAATTAGAAAAACCCGCCTCGAAGGGTCCGCCGCCGGGATCAAAGGGGCGCTAAACGTTGGCTCTAACTTTGTTTGTTTATTTAGGACACACTTCCCAAGACTTCGGCTGTCCCTCGACAATTCGTTTTCGGACTATTACCAACTCCGTAATTATTTATAAAATATCTTCCAATTACACGAAAACTTTTATTAAAAACAGAACAAAATCTTTATTTAGTCCCCAGCAAGCCCAATTTATGTGTCTGTAAGTTTCACGACGCTCCTCTCCTAGCGAACAAGTTAATTGAAATTTTGTGTTTCTATTTTATTTTTACTCGTGGGACGAGCAAAATTAATTTTAGAGGAATCCATTAAATGCAGCACAAGTTGTGCTCTCTTGGCTCTCAGATACGTCGGGAATGTAAGGTACGTGGGCGAGGGCGGCGCTCATGGAAACAACTAGTTTACATTTATATAGTGCTATTTATTTTACAGTCAACAGATTAGTGTTATGGTTCGACTTACATTCGCATCATGTCGTCTTTGCTCATCATCATGACGTCCTTGTAGGACCACCTGGTGAGCATGTCGGTGTCCAAGTAGGTCAAGTCATCCTTCTTCATCATCATGTCAGATATGTCCACGTCCTTGATGTTGTTGGAGAGACCCAGGTCCTTCCTGTACACCATCACGTCGGCGAACTTCATGTTTTGGGTGAAGAACTTAGTCATGTCAATCTTTCTGTCGAAGGGGAAGCCAAGCGGCATCGTGTCGAAACAGACGCTCCAGCGACAAGTTCTGCGCTCCTTCATCAGGTTCATGTCGACGGTGGGCAGCAGGAGGTTGGTCCTCACTGGGGTGATGATCACGTACATCTGCAGAGGGAAACCACCCAAGCGACCAAGAGGCAAGAGAAGCCTGTGCGGGTAGCCGACGCGGGTCTTGTACCACCAGCTCTCAACGTCAACAGTCTTGCTGATCATGCCGACGGTGTCCCTCATGTTGTTGAGGATGCGGCGGGTCCATGGTCGCTGCTCAATGACGCCGTGCATCTCCACGGAGTTGCGGACGATGGTGTTCTTTCCAGTCTCCAGCTTGTATTTGAAGGTGTCAATCTCAACCATGTCCAGACGTTTGTCATTGACGCTCATCAGGCGGCCGAGGCAGTCGTACTTGGGACCAATGAAGATGCGGACAACAGCGTCGACGGTCTTGTCGGAGGTGACGTCAACGGTGACTTTGAAGGGGTGGTGGTTGAGGCGGCGCATGCGAGCTACCATCAGCATGTCAGGGCGCTTCTTCTTCATCTCGGTGTCGTCAAGGTACAAGGCGTTAGTGATGTCCAGGTCATATTCATCCATGAAGGTAACGAGCTTGTCAGTCGTGAAACGGTCAATCTTTACTCCGGGGAAGTCGAAATCTTCACGAGTGTACTTGGGCAACATCTTCTTGAAGAGCACGAAGACATCGGTGACGCGCTTCATCAGCCTCCAGAAGACAGGGTCGCGAAGGCAGGTCGTGTACATGTCCAGGGCGGTGGGAACGTATGTGTACCTGGTGATGAAAAAATATATTTATTAGTTAATGAATACTTATAGATTTTTTTTAAATATGATTTTTCCAAGATGGCTTCTGAATTTCTTAAACAAGTTAGTATTTTCTATCTAAGTTTCTGTAACTTACTTGTCAAAGTTGTACACGTTGTAGCTGAGCAGTCTCTTCATCAAGTGCATCATGTGCATGAACTTAGCATCGTCGCTGACCAGTCCCATACCGCCCAGCACCATACGCGCCAGGTACTCAATGTCTTCGGGCTTCTTCAGGCTGATCACGGTTCCGTCGCGCTGTACACAAAGAACATTTTCATTAGAATATACATATGTATGAAAAATATTTGTCTGAAAGTTTTTTTGTGATCACTTACGCGCTCAATCTTGCCATTGAGAATTCCATCGCGGAGCTTCCTCTCAACGTCGTCCAGCATACGCTTCCACTTAAGGTTTTCTTTAGTGACCAGGATCATGTTGTTGCTGCGCACAGGCATCTCGTCTCCGGTGTGCAGGCGAATCTTAGGCCAGTAACCTGTCTTAAGGGGCTCGTTCCACATGATGGGCTTGATGTCGCACATCTCGTGTGAGAGACGCTCCAGCCTCATTCTGGCCAGCAGCTGCATGGTGGCGTAGCTCATGATCTCTCCGCGACGTTCCTTGTTCACGGCGTACATGTCGTGCTTCATCCAGTAGGGGTAGCTCATGTGCAAGTAGTACAGGTAAGTGTTCAGGTCAATGTCTTCGGTGAAGTAGGAGATGCGATCGTTCTGGCTGAGGCTGCGACGGACTCCCTTGCGCCAGTCAATTACTACCAAGTTCTTGTCGGTCACCTTGATGCCGTAGTAGTTCATCAGGACAGGGTCATTTGCTGCCTTGGTCATCTTCATCATGAAGGCCTTGTTGATGACATGGCTATCGACGAAGAAGTACGGGTAGATTTCGTAGGGAGCAGGCAGAGTGATGCCGCGGCAGTCAGCTCTGTGGAACACGCAAGCGGTGAGGGCATACACGAACATGCCTCCGTTGATGCGCTCCCTCAGCCAGCAGGCTGTCCTCATGAATACGTCGAAGTCCTTGGCGAAGTACAAGATCTTGAAGACTTTCACAGCCTGGATCATGTGCAGCTCGTTGGTGTGGACGAAGATCTCTCCACGAGGGAGCATGCCCATCTTGAAGGTGTCAATGAAGTCCCTGACAACCTCCGCCTTCTGCAAAATTAAAATATTATGGAAATAATATTAGGGACTTTATAACAAAGAAGGTATGAAAATAGAAGTACGTAAATATGTAAATGATCCCTACCAAGTACTTGTCAACATTGTCTTCGATGGTCCACTCCCGGGCGACCTCCCTGACGTCGTCGTACATGGTGGGCTGCAGAATGTGGTTCAGGAGCTTCATGATGCAGAGCTCTTTCATCTTGATGTCGAAGTTCACTGTTTAAACAACAAAACTTTTAGTCAAATACAAAAAAACAAGAAACATTTCGTTACAAATTTAATTAAACTGTCTTAAGATTGTCGATATTGTGTTTGTAGGGACTAATATCGAATGTCAATTTATGTTGGAAAGTTTTGCTTCGGTTTTGTTTGTCTTTGAAGCTCCAAGAGTTTGTTCTGACATTTCTGTTTTAAGTTCGTAAAGCTGATTTTGGGATTACAGCTGGTTCCAACTACTTTGATGTAATTACTCTTATTAATCCTCAGTTTGATATTAGTTGGGAATAGTATTTAATATTGTTAGTCGAGGAATATTTGGAAAGTTTATACAAGACGAATGTAAATATAGACGTCAATATGATGCAAACTTGAAGCTATTTCAAACATCACCATCTTTATTATATTTCAACTTTTATCTTACAATGAAATAGGAAACATATTTAGTTTCAGTTTCGATGAAATCGATGTACTGGTACAAAGAGGTGATAGAGAGTAGTGGTTGTAACTCACCCATGTTATCCTTCCCGATGAAGACGTTGGTATCATCTTTGACGACGTTGGCGGCCGCCAGGGCCACAGCGGCCAGCACCAGGAGTACTCTCATGTTTGCAGCTGCACCACAACTGTGCTGCTCCTCTCCACACGCCCACTATTTATACTCGCTCCACGTGTTTGTGTCACCACTATCGCCGCGCGCGTCACTATCAATTGTTATTTTTTTTCGTGGAGATAACCTCTCCGGAGTGTTGTTGTCCTCCGCCGGTGCAAACCGAGATCCTCCCGGAGTCACGTCGGAGAAATTGCCTTCATTTGCAGTAAAACAGGCCCTTCAGCTCGTAAACGTAACGTCGTTGTGAGAAAAAATATAAACTGTGTGAGTAATGGCGAGTTTTATGTTATTCCGTTGATGAGCTCTTTGTAGGCGCCGTGTGAGGGTGACGGGCTGGAAATATTCCATTACACCGCGTATGTACTCCTCACTTCTCCAGCCAGTAGCGTGCCAGTAATCTGTGATAGTATTTGCGCCAGTCATACATCACGCGCGCGTCTGGGCACGGGGCTAACCCGATGGTATGACAGGCATCTTCCATTATTGAAATACTTTGAGTGTGTTACAAACCTTTAATGTCCATGTCCCTGTTACACGATGCTCAGGTGATATTATTGTGTTTGATAAAATAGTCACCCGTTCGCCATAATTGATGTATCTAAGATAAACTTTTGCTCTTCTCGGAGGCTATACCAGTACAAACTCATTTGTACCCCATAAATACACAAATATACAGAGAGTACAATAGGCGGTATTATAATTAAAAAGCTATTTCTTACAGAAAAGTCTCTTAGTGGTGTCTGTCTGTGTTGAATGTAGTTACTCGAAAAAAAGCCATTTCAGTACGGGCTAAGTTTTGAACCGCACCCTCATACCCTAGATACTTACATGGGCAAATTACCACTTATGTACTTCAGTACAGAAAGCGTATATTCCTACATACAAAAAAAAATGTATGTTCATAAATTCGGTCTGAGATAAATCTCAGCGGTCAGAAGTTTGACTCCCGTGCTCACACAGCGGGTGGTGGGCACAGCCCATTAATATTAGAGCGGGTTCGATTCCACATAAATATCCTCATGGATTATTTACAGCCTTTTACGGACACGGCTGGCCACCCGAGATTCATATAGTGCATACTAGATATTTATTCATGGGAGCAAGCAGACAGTGTGGGAGAGCCAAGCTTCGGCACGAATGGGTCGGCTCGACTGGAGTGATGCCACGACCTAACGGCGTGAAGCTACTACAGCGTTGTTTTTCGCTTTGTGAGCTAAGTTACCGGAGGCCCAATCCCTACCCAGTCGTTTAATCTCCAAAACCCTAATCCCTAAAAGGTCCACAACGTACTTGTGACGCCTCCATGAAATCGACGAACTTACTGCAGGACAGTACATAATAAAATCCAAATCCAAACTAATATTATAAATGTGAAAGTAACTCTGTCCGTCTGTGTGTCTGTCTTTTCTTCGCGCCTAAATTACTGAACTGATTTCTGTGAAATTTGGTACAGATATAGTTTGGACCTCGAGAAAGGACATAGGGTAGTTTTTGTATAAAAAAAAATCTGCAGGAAGTCACTATTCGACGCGAACGGAGTCGCGGGCAAAAGCTGGTCTAGAATAAATGAGAGGTGAAGAGAAAGTGTTTATTTTAAGAGAATGCTATCTAAACGACGTGCGGCTGTAGAGTTATCTCCGTGTTATTGCAGCTTAATGGTAAACACTGCACCTTGGAGCGGTGGCAACGGAATCGGCTACCGTTCATTGTGCTGCGGATTCGATTCCCACTCGGAACATGGACTTGTGTGATCACAAATTATTGTGTGTCTGATGTTTTTGTGAAATTGTATATTTGTTTAGGCACCCTACACAAGGAAAGCAAGGAAATCAAAAAAAATATTATAAAAAATATGGGTGTTGTCATAATCATTAATTTATTATTTGTAAAATTAAGTATATATTTTGTCTATGGTCAGACATAAAAAAGTTGTTTTAAAATAAAAAAAAAATTATACATGAAATTTGAAAATGTCGAAGTTATTCCTAATTAATTGTTTAAAACTCGTCAACCTTATAATATTGTTTTATAGTAAAAATTACAAATCTGCCAATCTGATATTATGTAATTTTATTCAGTTTAAACTTAGTGTCCGAAAATTTTAGTCCCGGGACTTGTAACAACTGATAAAACCTTGTATTTAAAACTTTTTTAGATTTTAAACAGTTATTTCAGCCATCTTAATTTGCCATTATGATATATGACTTCGACAAGCCTGCTTTTATGAAAATGAGCATCATACTGTTAACTTGTCATTTTAGTGCCACACCCACTGTTCTAAACATTACCTAATCAATATACAGAGTGACACAATACGTATCTGCCTACCCCCTGATAAGCTGCTCAGTAGAGCTAACGTTACGCAGTACATACCTATTACTGTGTTTCGTACAACACACAACAATGTAAGCTATCAGTTATCAGCCGCGGCCGGTTAATTAATAACATTTACTGATAACAACATACTTTGTAATGTAATCATTGGAACAATCGTTACCTACCTCAAGGTGCCATCTTGTAGGCCACTATGTAAACAAGTGCTAGTAAACATATGTATAAAGAAAAATGTAATATTCTTGCAAATTTTACGAAAAAATCAACGGCGTGGCGTTGTGATAAAAAAAAAACAGACAAATCGAAGTCCAAACTCTTATATGTAATTTGAAATACAGCTGAATGCTTCCATAAAATAAGGTAAATTTGGAAAAGCTTGTTCCACCCCGCCACGATTTAAACGCTCAAAGTACGAGGCGCGACGTGCCGCCCGCCGCCTGCCGGTCCCGCGGCCGCGATGTTCAGCCGCCTGCAAACGTTCCTACCTTCGATTTATTTTAAGACACCTCCTCCGTGCTACCCCCAACCAACAATCCGTTAATCCCGGAGGCGTGAAAGCGTTTCCAACGAAAATAAATAAACAAAACGAAATTGTATCGTATTTATTTATCGCGGCTGGCGATGGCTGCGAATGTATTTGCGATTCAAACCCAATCCCGATATTTAGATATTTCATTTCCAAATTACGTGTTTCCACATTTCTGGTTTCGGTCGGTAATACGAACATTATGTTATTGGTATTTCCGCTTAGATTTGTTTTTTATCCAGGCACCTTGTTTCTCAGCATTTGAACACTTGGTTTTTATGGTAACAATGTATTTCTTGTTGTCCACAGACATTCCGGCACGGGTTCCCGTTCTCCCCGACGGCGCTGGCATGGGACCCCATACAGAAGCTGCTCGCTATAGGCGACAAGGGCGGCAACCTCAGAATGTATCCTTTTCACTACACTTGTGGCTATGTAAAGAGAAGATGCAGGTATGCTGAGATAACATTAGGAACTCATATTCAGACGCATCGATTTTATACCTTCGTACCTTCAGAACTAGGTACTAAATTAATAATTCCGTGACTTCTCTACTGAAGCCTTTAGCAACGACAGGTGCAATGTTTCCTTCCATTCATATTCCAATATCAACAATATAAAGTAATTAGCGCAGGGTCATGAGGGGTCACTACAATCACTGTCTCCGCCGATAAAGTGACTGTCCTGGAGGTCGAACCTGACACTCTGCAGATATCGGACTGAAAGTCGCATGTTGTGTGACATCACACGCTATCTGTTGTTTCTAGGGAAAGTTTTTAACCGACTTTAAAACAATCGGCAAGGGCTATTCACGCTGATAAGGTCTGTTCAGAATATTCGGGACCACAGACCCGTGCCATACGCGGTGAAGCAGTTCACTCTTGAGCAAATGCGTCTTCTAATACAGAGAAGATTTTGATCATTAATCACCACGCTTGCTCAATGTGGATTACCGTTTCATTTCGTAAAATTATAAATTAAAAATTCAGGTTTCCCAGCGATGTTTTCCTTCACAGTATGTTTGTAATATATGTATGAATAATATTAGAAAGTTCAAATAACTCTGGTAAAACCATATTGATACTTGCCAGATGTCAATCCCGAATTTTAGCGGTATCTGTATAATCTTAGAAAGTACATATAACTCAGCCAGGTTTCGAAGCCGAAACCTCATGCTTTAAAAGGGGGGTCCTCAAAACTTAAGGTTGCAACGACACTCACACATTAACTTACTTATGAAAAACAATTACCAATATCGTGAAGACCCGGACCCTTACACAAGTCGGCGTCTGTTTATCACTGGCCACTGTTACCAAGACATACATTGTTGCTTATCAGCTGCACTGCCAAAATAGACAACCTGTAATATACCTAGCGTATCAACAAGTTAAGAGTCGCGGGGAACTTACTAACTTATTTTTTATGAAATAGGTCGGCAAACGAGCAGATTGACCTCATGGTAAACAATTGGCGCCGCCCATGGACACCCGCAACACCAAAGGAGTTACGAGTGCGTTGCCGGCCTTTTGGGGATGGGGGTTGCGGATATAAGGATTGGGAAGGGATAGGGGAGGGATTGGGCCTCCGGTAACCTCACTCACACGGCGAAACACAACGCTGTGCGTTGTTTCTCGCCGGTATTCTGTGAGGCCGTGGTATCACTCCGGTCGAGCCGACGCATTCGTGCCGAAGCATGGCTCTCCCACACTTAAAAGTGTGAAAGCAAGTGAAAGGGTTTAGGAGATGTAGGTATGGGGAATGGACGGGAGCAAGGAAAGAATTAGGGGCCTTTCTAACTGGTGCAATATGGAGACAATTATACATATTGATTTTAAAATGTTTAGAAAATTTAACAACTCGATGTCTAAGGAGGCCCAGACGATAAAGCGCCAGCTTCTTATGCATGAGTATGCGTGTTCGAAACCTATGTGACTTTCTTCTAAATTCGTTCGTCCGTGTCAAGTTCGTTCTTTTAAGTTATAGGTACTTTCTTAGTGTAGATATTTAGAAAAACCTTACACGCGGTGAAGGAAAATATCGTGAGGAAATCTGCACTTATAATTTCTGGTTATAAGTTTGAAATCACCATCCGCGTTGACCTAGTAAAGTGATTAATGCTCAAACCTTATTACCCTAAAGTGATTAGGCAAAGGCCTTTGCTCAGCAGTGAGTATTTATAAGCTTATGGTGTGTTTAAGTCATTTGAGTATAGTTCCAAGTTAGGTCACAGAAAATAAATGCTGTGTTAGCCACTAGACTCTAATATCTCTATAGATCACATAATGCCTAGTTCTCAAGAAAGACAGCTCTCTTTTAGGCCCCATCCAATCACTTATGAATTTCAATTTATTCGTCGTATCTTGGGGATAATGGTAAGGCAGAGCTCAGGGCTGTCGCTGGCTGTGGTCGAGATATCGTTATCATGTAGGGCCAGCATAACACGTTATTTACGAGCCCTTCAGTACGGTCAGCGTCATAAATACGTAAACAGCTTGGACGCTATCGCTCGCTCTGATAAAAAAAGTATTCGCTTTTTATTAGTGGATGGCTGTGGGGTAAGTGGTAAGTGTGGTGACGGTGACCCTCCCCCCCCCCCCCACCAAACCTTACTATTGCAGTAGTCTCTAGAAGTCGTAAATTATTAATAAATATGTTATTGTATTATCAAGAGTAATTAAGATATTTTCTAAGTAAATTAATATATAAAAGTAACACTGTACGCACCTATGCATAAAGATAGTGTTTGTAGTGATTTATTTCTCATTAACATAAAATAATACATTTAGAAGACTAACATAAAGTTAGCTCAAATTTAGTCTAAAAGCTTATTTTAAAACGTTTAGTGTTAGTAATGTGTTCACTAAACGCGGATCGTTTTCGTATCAACCAGTTTGGTTTAGTTAAAGCAGATCATTCAATTCCATTTAATCTCTCTAAATCTGTCCTCCGGTGCGAGGGTACTGTTCAAACTAAAACAAAAAGCTGTCGAGGGTCCGAGGTCCGCTCTAAGCGTTCGACAAACAGGCGCCAACTTCTTGAGACCTTTTTACAAGTCGAGTGGCAAAATGTTCGCCGGTTTGGTCCGCCGCGGACCGCCTATAACCAGAGCGAACTGGTTATATCCGCCGTCTTTGCAGGGATTAAGTGTGTTAAGAGTCCACTCGACGCTGGTGGAGCTGAAGAGCGAATAATTACAGTTTCGTTTAATATAAATAAAGTATTTTTAACGTATTTTGGTTAGCTTTGAGATATTTTATTCTAACTTTTGCCTTACTTATATTAGTATAAGATATACGAGTCCATTCACTTCTATACCTAGTGTGATTAAGTTAGAACTCGTAATCGTAAAACCAAGAAGCTTGTGTTTCTAGGCAGCATTTTAACACCTTTCCCGTCTATAAAAGGAATCATAAACATTATCTAAAATACAAATTGTGACTTTAGTACTAACATACTCATAAAACTTTTATATTTTTATAAAACATTTATGTATATCTACTTTCTCCACGAGATAAACAACACAGGAAAACAATTCCAGTCGAGCACCTTCTTAACTTTATGTAAATATTAATTAAATTGAAACAAGGACTACAGGTGGGATTTATTTATTATTTATTAAAAGCTTCATGCACAAGATACTGTACACAAGGTGGACTTAATGCTTTGAGCATTCTCTACCAGTCTGACCTTTGGGCGATGCAGAGAAGAATTCCAATGGCAGATGCAAGAAGCAAGCATGGAATTTATGAAATAGTAAAAGGCTGAAGAATATATATACCACTATAATAAATATACACAAACAATACATACATATATATATATATATATATCATTCATTACCAAGTAAATACATATATGTATACTTACATAAGAACTTACATATAATATTACATAAATACATATAATCATACACACACTATATATATCATGTCATGATCCTGACGACTCCGCCACTCTCTTTAACAGGAGCTCTCGAACTTTCCGCTTGAACGACAAACGACTGGGTGACAACCTGATATCGGGGGGGAGCGCATTCCATAGAAGAATAGACTGGACAAAGAAAGAAGAATGAAGAAAATTTGTGCGATGAGTAGGGCAGTTCAGAAGACGGTTGGTAGATGAACGAAGATATTTGGTGTGATTTGCGCATGTGTATTGGAAGTACGAGGATAGGTAACTAGGCAAAGAAGGAGTATCAAGAAAGGAAAAAAGAGTGGTAAGCGCCCTTTGCTCCCTGCGCTGGCGTATGGGCAACCACTTCAATTGCAGCCGATGTGCAGAAACATGATCATATTTACGCAGGTTGAATACGAAACGAATGCAGTTATTTAGAAGGCGGTCAAGTTTGTTGAGGAGATCTGCATTCAGGTCATAGTAACAGACATCAGCATAATCTACTACAGGGAACAACAAGGCCTGCACCAACATTGACTTGGTGATGGAGGGAAGCAAGTTTTTTAGCCGATAAAGGGCCCGCAGCGATCCGGTCACCTTTTTACACACACTAGTGACTTGTGCTTGCCAATTCAGGTTGTTGTCGATGAGCAACCCCAGATCCTTTACTTCACCACTGAACGGAATGACCGCACCGTCGAACAGAACAGCTGGTAATGATGAGCTGTCAGCTTTATTTAGAGAGCGAGAGCTTCCTATGATAATTGCCTGACACTTGTTAGGATTTACAGCAATGCCGAACCTTTCCGACCAGTTGTTGATGGCAGCTAAGTCGCCATTGATTTTTGTAATAGCATCAGGCAAGTTATCTATACTGGTTTGACAGTACAGTTGTAAGTCGTCAGCATACAGATGGTACGCACACCGAAGGTCAGAAGTAATGAAATTAATAAAAATTGAAAATAAAAGAGGTGATAGTATGCCGCCTTGAGGAACGCCAGCTTTTAATTCGCGCCAATTTGATGAAATATCACCATGTTTGACCGACTGTTGACGCTCCTGAAGATAGGAAGAGAACCAGTGCAAAGATTCTCCAGAGACTGTTAGATGGGATAGGATGGCTAAAAGGATATCATGACTGACCATATTAAAAGCATTCGAGAAATCGACCAAAACCAATACTGTGGCTTTAGTATCCTCAAGGCCAGCTCTAATATCGCCAGTCACTTTAAGGAGATTAAGCTCATCCAGAGGATCGCTTTCCCCTAAATATCAGTTCGCAATTACATCCCCCGGGGTCGAACCCCCGCGCTCACGGTCGGCTCGACGTCGCCCTAATGTCCCTATAATATTTAGTTTTATTTTATTAACGTAATATTCCCGGCGGACCGCATACAAATTAGATTTTTTCAGAGTTTCCTAAATGTCTGGGACGAAATCTCGACCTTAATCTAGTTCTAGCCAGACAATGGAATAAGTCTTGTGGGAGCGCCACCAACTCAATTCATTTTGG